TCCCAATTTAAATCTTGTGCATGTGCCACTGCCGCCTGATACAGCAACACTTTTACTTGGAACCTGGAAATCGATTCGATTATTGTAGCGCACTAAGCTCAACTGTGGCTTAGATGGTAGACTCTCAGTCATTCTCATGGCCTACCCAATGAGTGTACATAGGCATACTGGGTAAATGAAGAAGGTATTGGTTTAAGTATACTACTAATTATCAATTAGAAGTAGTTTTTCTTGACGAATATGAACCTTTCCCCTTTCAGTCTCCGCTACAGCGGTCTGCCGCCTTACTCACACCCGTTTATGGCAGAGCGTTACACGCCCTCCTGTTTATCCTACCCATCCTTGTTCGACTCAGCTGATGTTAATGGGAAGGCCTCTTGTGGTGGACAACCGAAAATTATGTTCGAGTTCCTTGTTCAATACCCACTGCCTCAACGGCACAGTTGACGCGAGCAGCTGACCTGAAAATCTTTGACCGACATCACCGTGCTCAAGTGCGCATGCACACTAATGCTCGCTCATAATTGCCCAATTAACAGCGTCTTCGAAGGTCACTTGAACGCATCACCCCTCATTCAATATACGATGTTTTAACCGTCGATTAGGGCGATGTCCAGTACGAGCTTCAGAAAGAAGAAGGCAAACCCTATGACTCACGCTGGATTATAATGAAAGTAGACCCGCGCAGAATCTACCTCTCCCTCTCCGCTCCTTCAACTGCACCGGATGCGAAGACAAAAATCAGAGAGGCCGGAGTTGGCGGACTGCGCAGGTTTCTGGCACGGCCACTTCTCCGATGCACGCCAAAACAACCCCTAGCTTGGTACCCGTTTACGTGGGAGTGCCATAAGGGCCACATTAAGAAGACGTCATTGCAGCCTGAATCGCAGGCAGCCACTCAACCACTTCATAGTATAAGACATACACAGGACTGACTGCGCGGTCCGAGTTATCCCATCAGGTGGCAACCCTCCATGTCGCGGCATTTAGCATACCGTTATAGCTTCAAACCCGTCAAGTTTCTCATAATGAGGATAGAAAATAACGTTGTGTCGACCTCACCCTCTCACTCACTACCAGAATCAAGCCACCGTCTAGCTTATCTGTCAACTGATGTGGGGTGGACGCAATGGCCGACTGGCCAGCGGACCCGCATGCGCGCTCCTCAGCACACCAATCGCGCACCTCGAATATTTCATAGGGAATTTAGAGTGGGTGTTTTGTACTCTGCTATTCCAAAAACGC